TCTGAGTCTAATTCTAAGAATTTACTGTTTATTTATGTAAACTACTAGTCTGAATAGTACTGACTTACGAAATTGTGGATCAGAATGCAAAGTTTTTATATCAAGCAAACATGGTTAAAATATTGACAGTTCTGATACCGTATAATTAGACTTAAAAAATAGTAAAGATCTCAATTTAAATAATTGCTTTCGTTCTCGATATAAACTTTACCTCAGAGACATATATTAATGCGTATATTTTAATCTTAGAGAAGAATTTTCAAATCTATAAAAGAGGAAAATAATAATTATTATATAACAATTATTGCGTTTAGTCAATAAAATACAGATATAATACTTTAGAATCCCCTTAACACATATTATTATATTGCAAAAGAGATGCAATTTCAAATAAAAATATAATACTATCATTTACATACCAATATTAAATTTTTATTCCTTCTTTTTATCTTATCAAAATTCATATTTTTATAATAACACATTTTACTTAAAAAAATAATTGAATGCAAAGTTGATTTTTGCTTATAATGTGATTGGTAATCACGCAACTAATTTCAGCTTATTAATATCATTTGAATTAATATCAATTTTATTAATTTAGTTTACGTAATTATGAGATTAGCTATCTTAATATCATATTCTTAATATGCGAATTATTGGTCAATACTCCATGAAATTTATAAAAATACGTGCATTAGGTCAAAATTTTCATCACTTATACAAACACATGTCCACACACATCCACACACACAAACACACACATGTGTTATATTTTATATTATATAATGCTTTCTTAATCTTCTTTATATTTTAGATTCTGCGTCATTATGATTTATTATATTTATAACAAATGCAATTTTCCTCATTTTTTTCTATCATATATGATATGTTTCTCTATTTTAATCCATCCTATTCTCCCGCCAATATTTTCCCGATCATATTTCATTTTCGTTTATATTCTATTATATTAATCCACTTATAAATGTATATGTCGTGTAAAGATATTGTAGAAAAATTGGAAAAGACCTAATATATTCAACAAGTCACTATTAACATGTTAAGTGCCGAGCCTATTTCATTCAACTTTCCGTTTACACCACACAATACCGTCGACTGGAAAGATATGCGCTATGCGCGAACTAAAATAAATAAAAGAACGAGAAGCAAAGTGGTGCCGGACTAACAAATCATCAGTCACACAAAAGGCATAGTACAGTTTTGTTCTCTAAAGCAGATCTATCAAATATTTTAAAAAGTTTTTGAAACACACTGTTGCACTGGCGTGGCATAAACGGAAAGTTCGGTGCCGGTTCGTAGGAAACAGCATGGCGTAAAACGTATTCAAACCACGCGTTTGATCTGAATTTCTTTGATATTTAACTCAGGTAGCTTTGAAGAGTTCTGACGATTATCAATCGTAACTTATTTACACTTTATTGTAACAATATTATACCAGACTCACGAACGACTTGATTCGCATCTTTGGAACTTACTAAAAGTCCCCATTATCAAAATCATAGACGATGTCACCGACAGAGAACTTTAGTATTCGACTTTGGAACAGTAAAAATCGTTTGATATCGTAAAGACATCGTCTCTGATCGTCGAATCAACTATATAATTAGTGATATTGGAAACCACCTACCGTTAATGGAACATGCACATGGAACTACTTTGAGTAGATGTCTTGTCATCACCATTCAATTTCCTGTCGTAACAGCCTTGAACGATGACGATACTGCAATCACGTAGCAAATGCTCATGCTGACAACGCGCACGTGCCAAAAGAGCGTCAAAGTTAAACTTCTGTTGAATGCGTCTGTATACGCACTTTCTTTTGCGAGCCGTTCCTTGACAAGGTCGGGCTGTGTGCCGAGAAGCCAGGATTATGAATGCCAAGAGGTTTGGGCTTCTTCAGAGAACTCCTAAGGGGCGAGGCTGTGCTAGTCACGCTACTGGAAGTCGCTACCGAAGCCGTCGATCCATTTCCGGCCCCACCGACATATGGCTTGCCGCTGGCGTCTGTCATCGAGATCGTGCCACCTGCAACTCAATAAGATTAACAACGCGATTATATTTTCTGTTCTTGATGCTGCTTGATTAAACAAACTTTTACTTTTTTTTTATTTCTTTTATATTCGGAATATCAATGTCAATGTAATCGAACTATTATCACAAGTACGTATATTTTATACTCATATAATACAAGCCTACATAACATAAGATGTTTTAAAGAAAATGAAGAATATCCTATATCCTAAGAATGTCCCTCGGTGTGCTGTATGGGTATAGATATCTATACTAAAAAAAAATATAGTCAATTTTAATAAATATAAATATATTACATTACATACAATTAAATATTTATTGAATACTTGCCAACTAAATATTTATTAAATATAAAGATTTATTTGATATTTATTTGATATTTATTTGATATAAGAAATGTTACTTTGATCTAACAATCTTTTTTTTTACTAAACAAATATTTATTTACGTAAATACAAATATTTATTTAAGTAAAAGTTTAGTTGGCAATATTAAACTAAATATTTATTAAAATTGACTATATTTTTTTTAGTGTATACAGAGGGACAGAGAAAGAAAGAGAGAGAGAGAGAGAGAGAGAGAGAGAGAGAGAGAGAGAGAGAGAGAGAGAGAGATTTGCATAAGATACTAACTATAATATGCAAAAGAATGCATAAAATCTTACGAGCTGTGATACGCACTCCCAAAACATTTTTAAAAAATTGACATTTTTTTGGACTATTTATTCAAATGTTTGTAAATGTAACAATATGTGTTTTTAATCATATAATTCTTAAGATCCCATAATAGTTATTGAATCTAAAATATTATTGTTTAAAAAGAACAACATTGTTATGGATATTTAAATAAATAATTCCAAAAGTGTCAATCTTTTTAAAAATATTTTCAAACTTTTGGCTTAGGGTGTATTAGCAGAAAGAATAGATAATATTTCGATTACATATTATTATTATTCAAATTATATATATATATTTTATACGTATATTATATATTATACGTGTGTGTTACAAGCATTGCTGTTGATAAGCATTGCGTGCCAGGATGATAAAAAAAGCCACTTCGTTTTATGATCTAATATATTACGACGCTAAGTCCATAAGTTACGGTAGATGGATTTGATGTATTGGGGGTGACCTTTACGCGCAGCAATATAGCGAAGATACGCAGCGTAGCGTAATCGCTACATTACTATAAATTTATTCGGTGTCTCAAAAATGCTATGTAGTGACGAGCAAATACACAAAACACAATTTATCTCATCCTGCATATAGGTATATTTGTGTGTGTGTGTGTGTGTGTGTGTGTGTTTAAAAGCGAGAAAAAGCGTAGTCTACTACATTCTTCGACTTTTAAATTTTATCAGTTCCAGACATGATAACATAATATCCTTCTTTTCTGAGAATTATATCGATTTTATGTCGACTGACTAAACCAAGTTCTTTCAGAAAAGCCGACTATCAAGTATTGGCAAATATGACCTACAATATAAATTATTATCGAAACTTCGTTGCGAAAGCGAAATTAAGTGTTTCAAGAAGAAAGGATATATCAAAGTGGATTTTAACAAAGAAAAGTCATCCATAATATAAACAATATATATGTCATAACAAAAAAAAGCTCTCTCTCTCTCTCTCTCTCTCTCTTTTTCTGTCTCTCTCTCTCTCTCTCTTTGTGTGATTTTTAAAAATATTCTAATTCTTAGAAAAGATGAACAGTTAGTTGAATAGAGATGAAAATTAAATTACATTGATAGAAACGAGAATGAATTTTTAATGAATTTTTTTTAAATGTTTTCTGTACATAGTACGGCAAATTAAATGTTAAATTATGGTCTTATCGCATCCATCCTAATGTTAAATAAAGTTCGCAATGAATAGAAATACATTGAACAATAAACTGAATGCTTTAAAAACAGATGTTAATATATTGATTGCCTTATACTTTCAGTCAATTTGACGAATTTTATTGTAAATCTATTTGTTATATCATAATATCAAAAAGGATAACATGTCCATATTCAATAGGAAAATTTAGTTGAATTATCACAGAAAATTGAACTGCTGTCCAGTTCGAACTTACCGTTCGTGGGTTGATGATATTCCCGATATCCTGGATTATTTATAGTAGCTCCACGAGGATCCGTGACAACCCTAATCTTAGTCGGATCGCCACCTCTTCGGGCGTAAATACCCTCGTAAATGGCAGAAACTAGTACACCAAAGTTCAAAGCGATGGCAGCCAACTGCAATAATAAATAAAATCTACTAAAAATGTCTTGATCAAAATCTAATTGTGCGAAGCTACGTACATATATCAAAAATATCGATCGTATCTTCTCTTAGCACATTTCATAATTCTTCTTCTCCATTTCATACATTTCTCGTCAAGTAGTAAAATATTAGATAATAACAATTATTTGTAAGTAATAATTCAGAAATGCCTTACATGCTTGTAATAAACTAAAATTTATATAGAAATTAATACATATATAAGAAAGCATATATTATAAGCATATAAAGATAAACAAGATTACATCCTTTTTATGAGACTTATAATCCATCAATATATTCGATTGGAATTAAAATATAACATATTTATCACAAAATAAATAAATTTTTAAACATATATGATGTACATAATCGTTCTGTTTGCAATCATATATTTAATATTACATTGATTGAATAGGTATAAAATAGCTATATAAATAAAACGCATACTTATTGTTTGAGCTTTAAAAATTTTTTCATTGTAAAATTTTAAAAAATTTTACGTGTTTGATTTTAATTTAAAAACAGCTTTGATTTTTTTTATTTTATAGTTTTAAATGTTTTCTGTTATGTTTTTTTACACATTGTTGAGAAATTGGAGAATATGAGTTTTACTTTTAGATATTATACACTGAAAAAAAATATAGTCAATTTTAATAAATATTTAATTGAATACTAAACTAGCAAACTAAATATTTATTAAATATAAAGATATATTTATTTAATACAAGAAATGTTGATTTGATTTAACAATCATTTTTTTTACTGAACAAATATTTATTTATTTACTTACTATAAGTAAATGTTTAATAGTATTGAACTAAACATTTATTAAAATTAACTATATTTTTTTCTCAGTACAGTGACTCGTATAATTTAAATAGCCTATAACAGAATCTTATCACAAGAAATTTTGACAAAACAAGAATGAAAATGAAAAATATATATTTCTTTTTATACATCCTATAGCTTACTATATCTTATACTTATCCTAACTTACTGAAGTTAACAAAAATGTCAATCAAAAGTTTATCAACTTATGGCCGGACTGTTACGTCTCCAGTATAATCAAAGCGAAGTTTATAAAATTGATAATAATAATAAAATTAATTCACTAGGAAGCCTATTATATCTATAAATTGTTTATTTTACGATAAAGATTTATGATCTCTAAAACGAGAGAATGCACCTATCCGGAAATGAGACATAAATAAAATCAAAAACTCGAACTGTAAATTTTACGTACACAATCATAAGAAATCTATTGCTTTTCCGAGAATCGCGCATTTATTTTCCTTTGCATTAATTGGCTTGTAAATTCCAATTACTTGACACATCGTCCACTGTTTTAATCCACTGTTCTAATTTGGCGCATCTCCATGTTCTCAAAATATCAATTCACATCGAGAGTTCGCTATATGCCATAGTCCCTACTATCTTGCAGGAAAACGATTGCACACTATGAATCCCATCTCCAAGCGCGCGATCAAATGTCTCTCTTTCTCTCTCTCTCTCTCTCTCTCTCTCTTTCTCGAACGTCGTTCTTCCTTACACGACAAGCAAGTAACTAGATGATCCTCATCGTGTATTATCAATATGAGCAGAAGAGGCATCATCCGTAGGTGGTGATCGACTAGATGGATAGTGGAAGGAGTGCGCGAGGAAGGGGAGACAATTTAATTAGGGCCAACAAAGAAGCCACGCGCGCCATTGTCGTTCCATCGCTATAATTAATCTGGTCGTCCGGTGTTTGCCTCCTTTCTTTTTGTCCTCCTTGGGGATGAACGTCGCGACGAGCTTCTCTCCCCTATACACGAGAGATCTGATAAAAAAGAACGCAAGCAACCGCTCGTTGATGTTCTTCACCACCCCCTCCCCCTTTTGATTACCACGGCAATGGTTATTTTTCCTGTTGCATGGACGGGTTTCTTTCGCACTGATGTACATATGAGTATTATCAAATAAATCAAGAAAAAGTCGCGGTAAAATAATGAAAATTTCAAAAACATGATTGAACAGAAAATAAGAGAAACTTGATTTGGACAACAAAAACTAATCTGTTTTTTATCACTTTCTGAACTGGTGCACACGATGCAATAAATTAAAATAAAACAATTATACGTTTGTTTCACTTCAATTTATTGCATGTGCACCAGTTTAGAGAGTGATAAGAAACAGACCTTTAAGCACAATAAAAAACAGACCTTTTGTTTCATGCAAACGAGTATGCATATGTATCACATAATTTCACAACAAATGATATTTTCACACGTATGTAGCATACATTAATTGTATAAATGGGATGACTTGGTTGTGTAATAAAATTTTGCTAGATATAGCAGCTATTGTGTGCAACATTAAATTGCTCGCTTCAATAACTTTTTTTGCAACATTTATAGCGAAAATTATTTGCATTATCAATTAGATGCAACTTAATTTATTTTAAAGGAGATAACTTATGATTATTATTCTTCCTTCGCGATCATAAATATATTCCTTAATATAGAATTGATTGTTTCTCGATGGAATTATCAAGTATAAATTTAAATATAAAAAGATATAACAAAAGTTTTATATTATTTTCATTTGTACATTTAGTATACAATATTGTTAATATCATGGGAAAGTAAAAGCAAATACATTAACTCAATTGAATTTCCTTGAGTAAATGATATTACCTTGCCTTGTTTGTGCTTATTCATTCTATCCAATTCAATTTCGTCCTTGGCCCCTTTCAAGAGATTCCGTTTTCTCTTGTCCATCATCGTATATTTTCGAAGATAAGATATCAAAATATCATTGTATCTAACATAATGATAAAACAATCGATGTTGAAAGAGAATTTATCGCGAGCAAAATATACAATACAGTGAACCAATCAATTGAAAATTTCGTCTTTTTAAAATATATTATATATTTAATTTTTTAATATATGCTTATTAAAAAAAATATGACTAATAGCTTTGAATGGCAAAAAGTATTGCTCACGTTCGAGCTTGCGTGCCACGACAAAAGGCTGAACTCATACCAGCTGAGAAACGAAAAAATTCACTTATCGCAAAAACTGAGAACGAGGACAACACGGCGAGTTCATTAACGAGCCACACCGAAACACTCACTGCAGGTCCGCCAATGTCGGCTCATTGTTTTAAAAGTATCTACGAGTCGTGGCTGCTCCGACACATACTAAGTTACGATCGGTGGGGAGGGACTTAAAGAAACACCTGAGTCCAGTTCACGATCAGATGACTTCTAAGCTTAAGTTTAATTCTTCGTTAGATATATGTTTCTGCGTCAATTGACAATTTACTCGCACGCTAATGGAAGTGCATGGTATTACTTGATAAAGTTATCTCAATATATTCATCCTTTTAGCTCTCTTAATTTTTTTATATAAGCAATTTCAAGCGTAGTAAACGATAGTAAGTTTAAAATAATTTATCTCAGCACATATTCATAATATATTATAATCAGGCTAAATTTCCACGCAGAAAAAAGAAATTTATGGCATCTTGGCATAATTTTGCTACGAGATCATAATATTTCTGAAATATATTCACCATAATATGATAGTCACATAATACGATGATATTTGAAAACATTTTTACATATATATTATATTATACGTAATACCTATGTTCATGACTTTTTGCAAGATATATTTTTACATACAGATCTATTTTCTTTAGAATTACTTCTTACTCTTAGAAATTGAACACATTTAACAATTACAAATGTATTTCCTATTTCATGATTAAATAAATCTTATTTACTAAATGTTGTTATTTTACATGCGTTTTAATCAAATTGAACTTGAAAGAAAAAGAAAAAAACAAAAATTTATTTACTTCAAAAATACATATTGATCTCGTAAATTCGTGCATATTAATAATTTATAAGTGCATATTGATTTAAAGTTCACAGACATATATCCCTTTTTGCTATTCAGATAGAATTATTCCGCGAAGAATCGTAATAAAGAGTTTGGTATTTTTCTTAACAAAATCGGAACTTTACTATATATGCTTCCTAAATTGCAAAGATCGAATATTAAGAGAGAAAATATTTTTCCATCGATCTGATAATATCCCATACAAGATGCACATCACATATATATGTAATAACAAGTTGAATATTTCCTTGACGGAATCTGAAACTTTACTATACTGCAAGTACTAAATTGTAAAGACCGCGAATGTTTCATCTGCATTGGGAGAAACCCGAGCTGCCGTCTTGCGATAAGAACAAACTTTCGAAGTGCGTTGGCGATGTTATCGTTTAGTTTTATAAAACGTGACGTTCTTTCACATGCCATCATTGTCGCTGTTGCATCGTACTCTGTGGTCGATATCCAAATTATTATTACCAATACGAATGTAATTTATTTTTTGATTAATCTATATCCATATTAAAATAGGTTTAATAGAGCCACATATTATATCGAAATAAAAATGTATTCGCATATGAGAGAGATATTTTTGTTTAATTAATAGTCTCTGTAATTTTAATAATGTTTTTTAATAATAACTTAATAATAATATTTAATAATATTAATAACATTTAATAATATTTAATAATATTACTTGATCGAAAAAATTGTTCTTTATTTCTTTTTATTAATCTATAAAAATCTCTTCTTAAATA